ATTAAAAAAAACGTTTATTAACGAGCTGCAGTTTTGGTACATCAGGCGCTGGCACAGATGCAGTATATTAACGCCAGGGGTCATCAATAAGGTGCAGATTTGGTCCTCAATTTGTGTTTCCAACACACTTTTTCACAGCACGCATGCTCAAACTCATCAAAAGTCAACAAGTTCAACAAGCAACAACGACTTATCCAAGTGACCGCTGCAGAACGCACGCGAGAGAGAGACGAGGCAGCGCAGATCGCGCGTCTCATAAGTGAGTGCGGGAGTTAACACTTAACACTGTACGCAATACCCGCAGCCTCACACCAAATTTCAGGCCGTGTAGATAGGCAAGCATGTAAATCATTTAGTAAGCAGAAATCCGAAATTTACCTTAACATATTAAGTTAGAGGAAGATGCGACTGAATTGATGCTTGAAGAATGCGCTTCCAGCAGCCATGATAAACAGTTGGCGGTTAAAGTTTTCTATGCACAATTTGATTTGACGAAAGTCACAAGACCTATTACTCTCTATCCAATCACGTTGATGGATAAAAATAAAATGAAAATAAGCATGTAACGACCACAAACGGAGGAAAATAGCGGAGTAAAAGTACCGATACATCACTTAAAATGTACTCGAGTAAAAGTAAAAGTACACAATTTTTAAACTACTCAAAAAAGTACAATTACTGATAAAAACTACTTAATTACTGTAACGTGAGTATTTGTAATTCGTTACTTCACACCCCTGGTTATTATTATAGAGTGACCAGCGGCATTTAGGATCTGTTGTAGCTGTGCTGGATAGTGACTCCACCGGCCGAGCAAACAATGAGAGTTCATCTGCTGAAGTACGAGAGACAGAGTGCATAAAGCCTCCAGCGTGTTTGTCTGAGTTGTCTCCTGTGGTTTGATGCCTCCTGCAGGTGGGGAAGATATCCAGAAATAAAAAGAAGAAGCTGAAGAAGAAGCAGAAGCGGCAGGCAGAGCTGCTGGAGAGACGCATGCTGGAGATCGAAGCTCTGGAGCGAGAGGTGGAGAAGCAGAGAGCCGGCGGAGCGTCGGATGCCGCACACGGTCCCAGTCTGGCTCTGGCGGACAGCGAGGAAGATGAAGAGGATGATGAGGATGCAGATGAGGACGAGGAGGCCGAGGGAAAGAAGGAGCGGCCAGTCAGACTCACCAACCACACATGTGAGTTCAGTCCAGACGTCATCTTTTGTAAAAAAAAGAGGTGTAGATGATAGCAATGGATGGCATCGTTGTCATTCTGATGTCTTTAATATAGTAATCCCTTGGTTTTAGGAATGTAAACAAATCCTGGTTCCCTAGACCAAACATCTCCATTTAATCTGGGAAACGTCTCATTTCTCCTGTGTGAGTGATCATGTATGTTTCTGTAGCTTCCTTGTCAGACCCTTGTTTAAATGTTAGATCATTTGTTCCTAAAGCAGGATCATGAATGCTGCTCTGTCTCCAGTGTTCAGCGTTTGAAGTAACGCTTTCTGTTCACATTGTTGGCCGAGGATTTCTCCTTTTTTTCCTGAAAATGACATTTTATACAGCCAAACGTGCAGTGCTTAATGAGTGTGATGGACAATAGTGTGACTGAAGATCGCTCAGTTACTATATAGCACTAGTTTCTAATGGATAAACTACTGGAGATGATCATATGATCAGATTCTCTGGTCAGGACTCCAGCTGCTGCATTTTGAACCAGTTGAAGATGGTCTGATTTTCTATGATTGCATTAGACTCCAGTGAGTCTTTTGTTGATGAATCAGATCTCTCTTGTAACTCTTCGGAGAGGTTCGTCTCCTCTTATGAGCAAAAGCATCATATTCCATTAGTTTGTTCAGAAGATCTCTTCATTTTGCTGTCAAGCTGTTCTTTATTTGACTTTTTTTATCTTTATTTCGTAAGACGGTTTGTTGTGATGGTGTTTTCAGAAGGTCCCAGAAACTCTCTGAACTGACAGAACATCAGCTTTCTTTTTCTATTTTTGAAGTTCTTTGCAATGATGAAGACAACATAAAGTTTGTTTTTGAGTTGATGGCTGTCTAAAATATTTCCTCATAGAAATGTCTCTGTCTCTCAGGTGCGGAGCCTGATCAGGATCAGCAGGAAATAGAGGAGAACAAGGAAGGCTGTGACGTCCTTCCCACCGCCGACTGTCCCACTCCCACTGAAGAAGAGTCACATGCGTGCGCACACTCTCCACCTGAGCGACAGGACGCTCCTGAGAACGAGTGTGAAAACTCAAAAGAACAGGAAGAGCAGGATGGAAATGAAGACGTGAGAGAGGAAGAGGACGATAAAGAGGAGGAAGAGGAGACGGAAGCGACACCCTCACAGAGCACCGAGGACGAGCCGAAGACACACGAGTGTCCGAACGAGGAAGAAGCAGATCCACCGAAAGTGACAATAGAGAGACAAGAAGATGAGGAGGAGGAGGAGGAGGATGAATACGAAGATGAAGAATATGATGAGGAGGAGGAGGAGGAGGAGGCAGATGATGAAGGCCAGGAACATTCCAGGAAGGACCACAATGACGCCTCTAAAACGAACGGTCACGTGATCATGTGTGCGCAGGAGCGTCTGTCGCCCAGCGTGCCGCTGTCCTCGCCTCTCCTCTGCCCTCTGGTGGAGTCGGAGATCAGCACGACTGACCGCGATGCTTCCGATGCCTCGTACGAGCTTCACAATGGAGAAACCGGACTGACGAACGGAGCACGGCACCGTGGCACCATGCCACGCTTCCCCGAGCTTCCTCTGGATCCCAAACCGGACGACTGTGAGCACGACGAGGCCCAGGCGCTCAGCGGCAACACTGACCGCAGCCGAACAGTGTCGTCATCCAGCACTGGAGACACGCCGAAAGGTCAAACATGCGCATGCACTTCATATGTGCACACATGACTACTGTTTACTGTGAGCAGGTTAATAAGCTCTCTGTCTGTCTCTACGTCTGTCCTTCTCTCTCTCTGTCCATCCATCTGTCTCTATGTCTGTCTCTCCGTCTGTTTGTCTGTCCATCTGTCTGTCCTTCTCTCTCTCTGTCCATCCGTCTGTCTCTATGTCTGTCTCTCCGTGTTTGTCTGTCCATCTGTCTGTCCTTCTCTCTCTGTCCATCCGTCTGTCTCTGTCTGTTTGTCTGTCCATCTGTCTGTCTCTCTGTCTGTCCTTCTCTCTCTCTGTCCATCCATCTGTCTCTATGTCTTTCTCTCCGTCTGTTTGTCTGTCCATCTGTCTGTCTCTCCGTCTGTCCTTCTCTCTCTCTGTCCATCCGTCTGTCTCTATGTCTGTCTCTCCGTCTGTTTGTCTGTCTCTCTGTCTGTCTCTCCATTTGTCTCTCTGTCTGTCTGTCTCTCTGTCTGTCCTTCTCTCTTTCTGTCCATCTTTCTGTCCGTCTGTCTCTGTCTGTTTGTCTGTCCATCTGTTTGTCTGTCTCTCTGTCTGTTTGTCTGTCCATCTGTCTCTCTGTCTGTTTGTCTGTCCATCTGTCTCTCTGTCTGTTTGTCTGTCCATCTGTCTCTCTGTCTGTTTGTCTGTCCATCTGTCTCTCTGTCTGTTTGTCTGTCCATCTGTCTCTCTGTCTGTTTGTCTGTCCATCTGTCTCTATGTTTGTCTGTCCATCTGTCTGTCTCTCTGTCCATCTGTCTGTCTCTCTGTCCATCTGTCTCTCTCTGTCTCTCTGTCCATTTGTCTGTCTCTCTGTCCATCTGTCTGTTTGTCTGTCCATCTGTCTCTCTGTCCATCTGTCTCTCTGTTTGTCTGTCCATCTGTCTGTCTCTGTCCATTTGTCTGTCTCGCTGTCCATCTGTCTCTGTCTGTTTGTCTGTCCATCTGTTTGTCTGTTTCTCTGTCTGTTTGTCTGTCCATCTGTCTCTCTGTCCATCTGTCTGTCCATCTGTCTCTCTGTCTGTTTGTCTGTTCATCTGTTTGTCTGTCTCTCTGTCTGTTTGTCTGTCCATCTGTCTCTCTGTCTGTTTGTCTGTCCATCTGTCTGTCTCTCTGTCCATCTGTCTCTCTCTGTCTCTCTGTCCATTTGTCTGTCTCGCTTTCCATCTGTCTGTTTGTCTGTCCATCTGTCTCTCTGTCCATTTGTCTGTCTCTCTGTTTGTCTGTCCATCTGTCTGTCTCTGTCCATTTGTCTGTCTCGCTGTCCATCTGTCTCTCTGTCTGTTTGTCTGTCCATCTGTCTGTCCATCTGTACATTTGTCTGTCTCTCTGTCCATCTGTCTCTCTGTCTGTCTCTCTGTCCATCTTTCTGTCCGTCTGTCTCTCTGTCTGTTTGTCTGTCTCTCTGCAGCGAGGGTCAGTGCGGCTGATCTGCTGGTGAATCCTCTGGATCCGAGGAATGCAGACGTTCTGAGAGTCAAAATCGCTGATCTGGGCAATGCATGCTGGGTGGTAAGACGTCCTACAAAACACTTGGACTGTCCATATGATTGTAAATACCTGTGTAAGGTGAGCTGTGTAATCAATGCACTTCCAGCACAAACACTTTACGGAGGACATCCAGACGCGGCAGTACCGCTCCATCGAGGTGCTGATCGGAGCGGGATACAGCACACCCGCTGATATATGGAGCACGGCCTGCATGGTGAGCATCTGACCGGCTGACACGCGTCTGCCGCAACTGCCTTTGTGTCTGTGATTGAGTTTGATCTGTCTGTCATCCGCAGGCGTTTGAGTTGGCCACTGGTGACTATCTGTTTGAGCCGCACTCTGGTGAAGACTACTCTCGTGATGAAGGTACCTCTCAGCCTGTCCGCTTTTACGCTTCTTGTCGGATGCTCAGAATGGCATAGTGCTCATAACTGCACACTTTAAAGCCACTGTCTTCAACACGTTTCCCATGACTCTTGTTTTCTACAAACAAGCAGCTTTGTTGTGACTAGGCTTAGGTTTAGTCAGACAATATCACGATTGATTTTACATCACTACACATTCACTGCTCTGGAATCCATGAACGGGACTGACTGGTATAAGACTGGATTCAGTGGCATCAGAGGCTTACGAAACGCACGTGACTCACCGTGACGCTCCTTTAACAAGAGGATCTCTGATTCTGTGACCAGTGTGATTTTTAACAATATCTTCAATATCTTCAATAAATCATTTTATTTGTTTAAATTAGATTAAAATGACAAAATATTTACCGGACAGTCCATTAATCGTTATCTTAAATAGCAAGCCTGATGTGAAGGAAAGACCAGCTGACTGGACATGATCCCACTAATCACACAACTACGTAACGAATTCATCAGTAAATGGACATGAGATATTGATGTAAGTGTGAATGATTTTATATTATGTGGAAGAAGAGAAAGTAGCACTGAGAGAACAATCAGAATCAAGTGTTACACAGAGCCGGTGAGCCACTGTTACTTCATTGTTTTTCAGACACTTTCTGAACCACACATGCAATATGATGACGTCATGTTTAAAACCAACACGTGTGCAGTGCGCTGATATGCCATTCTGAACACATCCACTTCTGTCATTCGCTCTGATCTCCGTTAATCTTGATTCTGTCCTTCGCTGTCACTCAAGATGTCATTTATAGCTCAGCGTAAGTGTTAGCATTCTGATGTCAGAACGTGTTTAGTGTGTTTTTAGCTGATACTAAACTTCAGCTTTCTCCCTTCTGATCCCTTCATCCGTATTTTCCCATCACGCTTCCCTCTTCCCTTCCTCTTCCTCTTCCTCTTCCTCTCTCTCTCCCGTAGATCATATAGCTCACATCATAGAGCTTCTTGGCTGCATTCCTCGACACTTTGCTCTTTCTGGAAAATATTCCCGGGAATTCTTCAACCGGAGAGGTAGCTTTAGAGACAGGGGGAGGACGGACACGAGCGCTGCCGCACACACACACACCACAAGACTGCAGCTTTATGGCTTGATGTTAGAGGGGTCATGAAATGCATTTTTACTTCTTTGCATTATGGATTCTGGAGGTCAGTTGGCACAGTTTTTTTCTCCAATTTTCAGTATATATGAAAATGATTATTTTTTATCCTCATTTTCTACATTTCATTGGGCATCACCACTGTCAGAAACGTCAGCAGTCGTCAAAAGGCTGCTGTAGCTTTCAGTACAAGATATTGAGAAAACAAACAAAAACATTCTTGTTCATTTGCACGAGGTTAAAAATAAACTTCAGTCACACATTTCTAATAGTTTGATCTGTTAGAAGGATAAGCTCAGTTTTTAGAGGTGCAGTTTGCATTGGCATGAAACTTGCTGCATGTTTTTACTGTAGAATAACACTTTATGTGCAAATATCAAGGGAATTTAGATTTTCCATTTCATGACCCCTTTAATGACGGTCGGTCCTGCAGGTGTCTGATCTGAATCGGGCTGGTTTCAGACCTGTGTGTGTGTGTGTGTGTGTGTGTGTGTGCGTCCGTCCTCCTGCACCACTGCATGAATAACTCGTGTTGTGTTGTGTTGTGTTGTGTTGTGTGTGTGTGTGTGTTCGGGGGTCAGACCACATCGCTCTGATTATGGAGTTACTGGGAAAAATCCCCCGCAAGATCATCGCAGCCAGAAAATACAGCTGTGAGTTCTTCTCAAAGAAAGGTAACGCTGACAGTCTGACTTCCGGCTCTGCTGTTCAGGAGCATTTCATCCACTCCACTGAGCTTGTAATTCACTTTGTCAACGGTTCTGCTCCGAGATCTTTTTTCCTTCCGTTCTGTTGCCAGATACAATATGAAATTCCAACACCAGGATTGGCCAATGCAGATCACTCAAATATATAGCTCGAGCCGTTTTTACCACGAGTATCGGCACAAAATCTGTCACAATCACTTAAACACAGAAACACGACTGATATCATCCAGTCACAATGCCATGTGATTCATTCTCCCTCTTTAGTTTGTTCTTTAGTTCAGTAACATGAATGCCTAATGAGCATGTGTGAGAATCTCCCGCCATTATTGGAGAGTAAACTGTAATCGCTGCTATCGATGAGCTAACAGCACTGAAAATAACTACAGCGGCAGCTAGCTAACCGGTTATGGTTTTCAAAGTCAAAGACGCTGGGCCTCCCTCTGACACAATAATTAAATAATAAATCTTAATTCTGGCATTAATAGTGTGGGCGGATCTTGCAGTAATAGTGTGGGCAGATCTTGCATTATTTGTGTGGGCAGGTATTGCATTAATATTGTGGGCGGGTCTTACATTAATAGTGTGCAGCAGCAACAGCTGATCTGGGGCATCTCTCTGCAGGTGAGCTGAGGCACATCACCAAGCTCAAGCCCTGGTCTCTGTTTGACGTGCTGGTGGAGAAATACGGCTGGTCAGCTGAGGACGCCGGTCACTTCACACACTTCCTGCTGCCCATGCTGGAGTTGGTGCCGGAGAAACGGGCCTCCGCCTCAGAATGCCTCAACCACCCCTGGCTGAACTCGTAGCACTTTGGTCCCTCAGACTCATCAACCCCTGCGGCCCGGTCCTGAACTGCAGCCGCCGTCATCAGAGAGAAAGAACCAGAGAGAGGAGGCTGTCAGGGGCGCGGGTGGCTTCAGCGCACACACACACACGGGAGAAAGGAGATGTCTTCATCTCTCATCTGAGAGACGAAGCTTCATTCACCGTCTTCCTCAACAGAACTGACACATTTTACAGGCTGAAAACAGAACATGAGATTGTTTCACATTATGCCTTCAGCCAAACTCTCGTGAATGCACTAGTAAAACAAGCATTTATAAGCTCACACAGAGATTAATATATTATGTCTATGGTATACTGATTCGTCTCGATGACTGCGAATATCACTGACGCAGCTTGTGTGTTTTGTGTGAGCAACACGAACTGCTAGTTGATGTTTCTGTCAAGAAGCCCACCTGAATCCCTGAAGCCCCGCCTCTTTCACCCCACCATCCAATCAGGTTGTGCAACGGAGCTGTTTACAACCCTCATCTCTCTCTCTCTCTCTCTTACACACACACACTGCCCTGGGAAATATGAATCTAGAAGACAAAGAGACGTGGAGAGCAAACGGATGGTCGCGCCGTTGGCTGTTCCCCGTCTGGTTTAATGTTTTTATTTGAAGCTTCGATTCTCGATTCCGACGACAACATTCCTGATTCTCCAGCGGTGCGACGCGCTCGCTTACTCCTTCTCTGCACTTTCTCCGGCAGGACGGGCGTCTCGCTCCGGGGCTTTAGTTTAATGAGGCTGCACTTGTGTTCGTACTTTTTGTTCAGGGAAACTTACCGATGTACAGAGATCCAGCAAACTGTCCAAAACCTCGCAACTGCTTGAGCGCAAGATAAACATACTGCTGTTAGGAGACGGTTGTCATGGAGACGTGCTGCAGCTGTTTCTGGCCTCATGCTGCTCGAAATACATCATCATCATCATAACCCTAACCCTAACACAGTTAGTCCAGTTGCCTATTTTCGCAATAAAAGTAGATGGTGAAATATTTTTAAAAATATTTAAATTCATTTAAAAAGAAAAGCAGTTCTCTGATGTTGTGACAGTGACAGAGTATAGTCGTAATAAGGTGATTGTGTTTTGTCTATTTTCAGATGTTTTATTTCCTTTGTTTTGGTTTTTTATTCGGTTGTCACTTCCTTCATGGCATTGACTCGTGCTGCTCTGTGAGGACTCATGTGACAGTCATGAATTTTATTGAACATTTTTGCAATAATAGTGATTATGATGATGAATTTTTGCACAGGAAGCTCCTGATGTGTCTCACGCAGCCACGCTGACTGTTCTTCCCAACGTCGACAAATGCGTCCTTGTTTTTCATCAACAGATTTAATAAAATTGTAAATTAATGGATTGCATTGCCTAAACATTTCCACCCTTCTTGTTCTGGTCTTGCATGTGAGTTTCATTTATTATGAGAAGTGTTCCAGCTCTCTGTCAGTTAGTACAAAGACTACAGAATAGCCAAGACATGTCACTCGTATAGTTTTGAATGGGGAAAAATGCAACGCTAAATATGGCCGCTCAATCGCAGGAAGCCCCGCCTTCTGAGCAAAAGAGCTAATCGCTAATTAGTAAAGTCAGCGCGTCACTGCAGCTGCGGTTAGAAGTCATACACTGTATAAAAACATGGCCTCCTCGTACTCCAACTTCTTCCAATATCAGAATTAAGGCCTGTTGCCGCTTGTTAGAAGTCCCGGTTGCTATAGAAACAGCGTTCTGAGATGTGCGCTCAGGACTGCGCATGCGCACTGGCTGATCTAGCCTGAAAAATAAGCTTTTTATAACGCTATTTGAACAAAAGAAGCAACGTTTATGACACAGTTGTTGTTAGATTTCTTTGGTGATTTCAAATATGAAATTTATTCGTAATCTTGGTGAACAGTTTTGTAGAATTTGATGTTTCCTCATTCAAAGAGATAGGAGCTGCACTTGCATGCCCCGAGAGGCGTTTCAAAGATGGCCGCCGAGTGACATGACTTGTCTTAAAGGGACTTTGAGTCAGTACTCGTTACCGTACTGCTATGCACTAAAAGCACACGCTGCGCTGATGATGAAGAATTTGATGTAGTAAAGTCTGTTACTTTGAGAACCTGCCTAAAATTCAGCATCATCAGTGTTCTCAGTGGGACCTTCATTTGGCTTCATTCTCTGTAGTGTGAACAGCACTTGAGTTTCATCCTACTTATAATTCATAAAAGATTTGAATGTGCCTTGATATTTGAAAATTAAGTTGTTGTCTAACGGTGTCAGAAGTCATCATGTAAAACACAGAAAAGGAAGAGTTGTTGAAAGTGTGTTAACTTCAAGCGAACACCATGTTGAAAATAAAGGAAAGCCTATGCTGCAGCACTGCGAGATGGACTGTCCTGATCAAACCCAGCTGAACCCGACAATCAGGCTGACAGGAGACCTGCTAAGAGATTTCACCGGAGGACTCAATTCAGAGTAGCACTGACACGTGACTCTCTTTTAAATGTTTTAGTGTTTATTAATATTATTCTCATTAATTCGACAGATGGAGGCTTTTTTATTGTTAACTCATCACCAGGGTTTGAAATTAACATCCGCCAAATGCGGGTAAAAATCAGCTGTGGCGGGTAATGCTGTCAAATCACTAGCCAATTTGGTGGGTTACTTTTCATAAGTTTTGTTCACTCATTAATTTCTTGGGGAAGTTCATGCAAGCCAAATCTGCGCAGGTTTAGCGCAAATACCGAACTCGTGAGATATGACATTATCGAGTATATTGCAAAAACCAAACAAAACACACCTACAGAGTGTACGCATACACGACTACGTATTTAGAGTGCGTTCTTTCACTGCATGATTCAGTCTATTAATATACATTAAGAATGATCACATAATTCAAGATAAGAGGGCAGAAACTGTATATAAGAAATTTCATATAGTTAAAGGGGTCATATGATGCTGCTAAAAAGAACATTATTTTGTGCATTTGGTGTAATGAAATGTGTTTATGTGGTTTAAGGTTCAAAAAACATTATTTCTGAAACGTGTCGATTTTTACAAAGCTCATCGTTCTGAAAAGCGAGGTGTGCTGTGATTGGCCAGCTATCCAGTGCGTTGTGATTGGCCGCATTATAAATGCGGCATTTGTTGCATCCAGTGGGGACACAATTACTGATTATAATGACTTATGCTGTCTTTTTACGCTTTGTGTTGCGTTGCATCGCGCGGCGTAAACATAAAACCATGTCTGCATTTGTGATCGGAGAAATGACAAACAACAAGCCCTACTCTACACTGCCCAAAACTCACGTTTGAATCATCAGTGGCAAATCCTTTAAATATGAAAATGTACTTACAGTCTTTGAGTCAGAACAGCCGGCATTGTAGTCTACTCTCCCAGGATCAGGACACAGTCCTCCATAAAATGTGCTGCACACATCTGAATATTTGGGTTGAACTGTTCTGGAACAGTGTTGTAAATACAACTTAACCACTGATTTCTATTCGTGTCCTCTTTTGGAAGACCAAACAAAGTAGTTTCGCTTTCACAACAAAGCACACAGCGTCTTCACGACATGGCGGCAACAACAATACTACAGCGAGAATAAAAGTTACGCCTTCTTTCTTTGCGTGAACATTTGGGTGGCGTTATGCAAATCTTCCCACATAGTGATGTAGATATGTGGGGGCGTGTTAGAACGAGCCGTTTTAGGTAGGCGTGGTTGACTCTTAACTTTTATAAAGAATATCTCTTTGGATTTGAGACTTTAGTCTTTGCAACTTTACAGATCTTCTTTATGCACCAAGAGCTTGTAACACTCCAAAGAGAAAGGAACAATTGAAATCATATGACCCCTTTAATATCACACGAAGAGTGCCGTTTTAAAAAAAAAAAATCAGCATGGTTACTAATGTGATATTGATTTTATACATCAATAAACAATAAGTTAAAATTTAATTGTTTTAATTTTACATTTAAAGTATCTTTTCATTTTTATCAACATCTTTGTCTTTTCATCAACATTTCATGTTTAAAATATCAAAACATTAGTTATGCATTTGTAACTGCAGACTAAAGCATTCCATGTCCCTCTAAGCTGCATTAACGTGTAAATACATCTAAATGCCACTTCATATGCAACTTCTGCAAAGATTAATTTTGCTGATACTGATTTCATTTGTTTAGTAACAGTCTAAATGTATTATTATTATTATTGACTGATTAAATGTAAGAATTTGACTCAAAAGATGATGCACACTTTTAGAAAAAATGGCTTTATATAGCCAAGGTGAAAATGCCCATAAAAGGTACAAATCAATTTAAACTTAATGGAAAAGATTAATTTCTATCACTGCTGTGAACTGACCACACAGAATATGAAATATATCAAAAACTTTAGGAGTCAGCTGTCCATGCTAGTCCTTAAGATATCAGTACAATAACACACTCAGCAAAATATTGTCTAATTATCTTTATCGATAAAATCCCAGAAAATAATTGAGATATTATTTTTGTCAATATTGCACACCCCTTAGTACTGACACAATATGATTTGCAACGGTCGCTTTGTCACACCCAGTGTAGACAGCCTCAAACTGTTGGTTTATTTGTTTTATTTATTTATTTTTGGCTAGTAGAAGTTATGAATGGCCGGTAACTTAAAAATGTAGTAGCCAAATTGTCTGGTGAGTGAAAAAGTAAATTTCAATCCCTGGTTATATTTATGATTTGATGGAATATTTGGGTTTCGAGATGCCAACAGGTAAGCTAAACTCAAGCTTTCGCCACATTACCTCTTTACTGTCAGATAACAGTACGATAAAAGATAAGAATAAACGCAAGGCGTTTATTTCTGTAATTGCACGAAGCACAGAGACGGAACGGAAATGACGCTTTTCTGAAGATGCATTGTACGGTATGAGCTGCTCATGGGTCTGAACACTCGGCTGGATGATTGCCTTAAAGAACAGATTTAATGGAGATGTTCTACACAATGTGATCCTGAAGGGCCAAGTAATTAAATATATTGATATTAATTTTAGGGAATTTATATGGATATAATTACAATCTGCATAATAATAACAATCTTTTTGAATCCATAGAAAATAGACTTATTAGTTGGCTAAACAAGTATCCACATGCCATTTTATTAGTTGGAGGAGATTTTAATATTATACTGGATGGAGCGATCGATAAATGGCCATCAGGTCAGCCTAACATAAATAACAATAATCTGAAAAACTTCATGGATAAATTCAATTTTAGAGATATTTGGAGAGACAAATTTCCACATAATAAGTCATTTACCTGGAGCAATAAAACAGGTCCAGTCAGTCCAGAATTGACTTCTGGCTGTTCAGCGCTGTAACAAAGATGATGTAGTAGTTGATATTGCTTCTACTCCACTAACAGATCATAAAACGATAAGCATTAATATTAAATGATCTAAAACAAGTTGTTTTATCAGTGGATCATATTGGAGACTCAACAATTCATTGCTACTGTATGATGAGGTAAGAAAAGAGATGATATATCCCTAGATTGATATGCAGATTTGGGGATAAAGCCAATAAGGAGAATGCTTTTTGCTGAAATTTGAGGTCACTAAATATTTTAGGACATTTGGCAGCCGAATGGCCAAATAGAAAAGAGCTGAAGAAACCAACATTATTGTTGAAATTACAAAATTAGCAAATAAATGCCCAGAGAGTTTATTAGATGAAGAGAAATAACTATAATCAGAACTGCGAATCAAACTAGATGAATTGTATAGAAGGAAAGCTGAAGGTGCGTTTGTTCAATCCAGGAGACGTTGGCTTGAAGAAGGAGAACAAAATTCACAATGCTTCTTCAATTTAGAGAGACACCATATTAATAACAACATTAGTAAATGAAAATGTGAATGGGGCTGTAACAAGGACTACAAACTAATTTCTAGTCACTGTTGTGAATTTTATAAGAACATGTATACGTCCAATTTTTCTCAAACTGCATCTGATGCTTTTCTGAGTTCTATAAATGTGACGAAAATGAAAGTGAACTCTGTGATATGCCTATTTCTGTTGAGGAACTGATAAAGGCAATTCATCTTCTGAAAAATAATAAATCACCAGAATTTTATAAGCAGTTTATTAATGATTTGGCCCCTTTTTTTGCTCCAAATGTCTAATGAAAGTATAAGTAATCAGTGCCTTCCTCCCACTTTGACTCAAGGATTAATCACATTAATTCCCAAACCAAAAAAGGATCTACTTTTTCTTGAAAATTGGCATCCAATCAGTTAATTCAATAATGATTATAAAGTATATGCCCTGATATTCGCTAAAAGACTCAAAGCTCTATTAGATTCAATTACAGAAGAAACACAATCTGGATTCATGAGGAATAGGCATTTTACAAACAATATAAGACTAGTTTTAGATAGTTTGGATTATCCTGGATGTAGATAATGGTTTTATTATTTTTCTTGATTTCTGTAAGGCCTTTGACTCCGTAGAGCATCAGTTTATTTTTGAGTCACTTATAAAATTTGGTTTTGGAAATTTCTTTACTCGTGCAATTAACAGCCTTTATAAGAACAGCAACAGTTGAGTTAAACTGTTGGGTGGCACTTCTGCTAGATTTAATTGATCTAGAGGGATTAGACAGGGTTGCCCCATCTCTCCATATTTGTCTTTGATAAGTCGTCAACTCCTTGCCAATCATATTAATGCCTGTGCGATTAAAGGTATGACTATTATTGATAGAGGATTAGTTATAAGGCAGTTAGCCGATGATACCACCCTCTTTCTCCAAAATGAAATCCCCAATGCAATTAAAGTAATAGAAGAGTTTTCTAAAGCATCTGGTGTCTGTTTAAATGTAAAGAAGTGTGAACTAATGGCAGAATATTCAGTGGCATCTTATTGTAACATTCCAGTCCAAACGGAGGTCAAAGACCTAGGAATTATAATGAGAATCAACAGAACAGAAGTTCATTCAAGTTTAATCCTAGGATCCAAAAACTCAGAGGAAGTTCAATCAATGGCTCTCAAGAGATTTATAATTAAGAGGGAGAGTTTTGATTTCCAAAGCAGAAGGTAATATCCCGGCTAACTTATACAGCTATAGCTTTTCAGGTTGATGATACAATTTCAAAGGAGATTAATAAAATGTTCTCTTTAAAGCCAAAAAAAGTAGTTTCGCTTTCACAACGAAGCACACAGCGCCTTCACGACATGGCGGCGGCAACAATACTACAGCGAGAATAAAAGTTACGCCTTCTTTCTTTGCGTGAACATTTGGGCGGCGTTATGCAAATCTTCCCACATAGTGAGGTAGACATGTGGGGGCGTGTTAGAACGAGCCGTTTTAGGTAGGCGTGGTTGACTCTTAACTTTTATAAAGAATATCTCTTTGGATTTGAGACTTTAGTCTTTGCAACTTTACAGATCTTCTTTATGCACCAAGAGCTTGTAACACTCCAAAGAGAAAGGAAAAATTGAAATCGCATCATATGACCCCTTAAAAAAAAAAAAAATTCCACCGACTTGTGTGAACCATGTATTCCAATAGTTGTAGTAGTAGTGGGCAGGTTTGTTTACGGTCCGACAAATACGTGAATGGGCCACATATGTTTTTTTTTTTTTTTACTTTTAGCTATGTCATCGCCCCCTTTCGTCACCTCAGCCGCCCCCTCATCAGTGCATGTGCATGCTTGAAGTTTCACAGGTATTTCGTTAATATCAAAATTGCAAACAAGGAAAAAATGTATGCCACCCAGACTAGATAAAATATGGAGGGGATTCATATTCCAAATAGAGACTGTGTACTGAACAAGATGTCTAATCCAGTTGCTTTTTAAAGGGGTGATATGATGTGATTTCAGTTTTTCCTTTCTCTTTGGAGAGTTACAAGGTCTTGGTGCATAAAGAAGATCTGTAAAGTTGCAAAGACTAAAGTCTCAAATCCAAAGAGATATTCTTTATAAAAGTTAAGAGTCAACCACGCCTACCTAAAACGGCTCGTTCTAACACGCCCCCACATAGCTACGTCACGATGTGGGAAGATTTGCATAACGC